GATAAATCTATGTGAAATAAGAAAACAGAGCACCAAACAATAATCTTAAGAATCCATAATGATAATAATACTTATAACAGTGTGACAATAGGAAGATAAATGGTAGCCCTTTTGAGGGTCAAAAAAGGTTTTGGCAAAGTGATCAAATTTTTTATAGGATTCTTTCTAAAATAACTAAAGGACAGTAAAAGCTATGTATGATCTACCTCAGCAGATCACTTTGCCAAAGCCCTGGAGAAGGGGGATTTTTTTTGGCCTGCAAAATGCATTGGCTACTGTTTATCCTCCTGTTTTCAGACTGTTATCAGCAATAAAGGATTATGAACTTTTAAAATGAGCATTTTTTATTTAATGAATTAGCTGTAAAACTGGTACATTTTATTTGTGAGTGCAGAGTTCCCAAAGCCAGCACCTGACCTCTATGATTCCACCCATGACCCCATTCCCTAGTCAATTTAATCACATAAAAAGGTAGAGCTGGTGTGCATATTGCCTGCTTTATGCATTGCCAAAACGTTTTATTAGTCTTCGATAGCATAGGAAAGAATTACATAATTTGAAAGGATTATACAGCATCCAGGTAATATTCAAAAGATCTCTGCTGTATAGGGGGTTTAATGAAAGAATTAAAATGTATAACCAGATCCCAAGCCCTCTCTGATGAAACATGGTTCTACGCACTGCTCTGACGATGGCCAACATACCTAAAGCAGCTGTATACAATTTAGAATAAACAGCTTGGTAATTTTAGGCTGTGTTTGTACTATAAACCAGTGGCACTAGATTTATATTTGGCCAAGTGACATAGAGGCATTATTTGCGTAGCTCCACCAATGAAAATGAGGTATAAACTTTTTTGAAATTCTTTTTAGAAGAAGGATATTTAGAAAACCTTTTCCTTCAAGAAAGTTGTGCAATGCTATAAAATTAGCAAATGGGACAGGTATGAGTTGGTGCATTTTGTGGACGCTAGCTCGAATAAAAGTGTAGAGAAGTGAATAAATCTCGCTAATATTTAATGATTCCCTGCTACTCTGTTTGAAAACACTGATCACTTTAATTTAGGATAAAAAAAGCCTCATGTTTTGCTATTCTTCAAAATACTCCGTACAGTTAACACAGATTAACTGCTTTGCAGAATTTTATAAAGCCCTCGGATGATAGTTGCACAACATTACATTTCAACATTGCAATGTCATTTTCAGTGGATTTTATGCTTTCAACTCACTTGAATACACTGGCATTAAACTTAAGCTCATGTCTGCATATATTTAATAAAACTGACGGGGGAAAATATAAAGAGTCTGTTAAATATGTAATTCTTTCACCCATGAGATCTAGAATCCAAATTTACATGAGGCTGATTCTCCATCCGACTAAATTACCATTCCATTTGCTTAACATTTGTAGTAACATTCAAAATTGCTAGCGATAATCCATCCCCTGGTGCTGATTGAAGTGGGACCATTTTTTTAATTAAAAATGGAAAGAATGAATTGTTGATTTTTTAAAAGAAATAATATTAAAACCCCATATTCTCTTTAAGCCAATGGATAAAACTTTTTACTTACAGAGACGTTCTGTGTGGTACTCTTACTTTATAGTGCAGTGTCTGAGCTGTCCTATTTAACAAAATTTAAGAATAACTCCAGGCAAATCCTTTTACTATGTGTAATCATTTCCCTTAATTTGCATAGAATCCCCTTAGTTTAAAATATACATTACCTATCTAAAACTTAAAGTGTAATGCCAAACATATGATAGTGAAACTGAAATGTCAAAACAAATATATGTCCATAATATCAGAAGACAATGGTGCAAAAAAAAAATATATACATTTTTTTTAAATAATGTCCATCCACCACCATAAAGTACTCTTGCTTGCAGAAAGACAATTCAATTCAAAGTTGTTGTCACGTCTCTCAGTGAATTGAAGACTCACCAGAAATGATGGCTGCCACTACAACAGCAGAAACACCCAAGTGTTTAAACAAAGATTCCAAAGGCACATGTATCTTGACATGAGACTCTGTTGGTGGGTGTCATTCTGTCTAACCAAGCTGTAGTAAAATAAAGCTCACCAGGAGCAAAGGCTTCCAATAGTGTAGTATTTATTAAAAACCAATAGAGTAGAAAACAAATAAAGCAAAGAGATGTCAGCTTACATAAACAGCCACTGCCGAATTGTGCAGCGGCGTGACGTCAGCACTGTAAACTCCTCCCCACATTGCCTATCGATGTAGGCTTTTGACGAGTCTTTGGGCAAGCTGAAGTTTTATCTAATTAGCTTCCTTTTGACTCGGTGTTAACTATATTCATTTTTTTCTGACTGCCATATTATGTCAAAGTTTTACTAATAAAAGAAAACACCTTACATTATACAATAGCTAGAGACTGTGGGGTTGATTTACTAAAACTGCAGAGTGCAAAATCTGGTGCAGCACTTTATAGAAACCAATCAGCTTCCAGGTTTTTTTTGTCAGAGCTTAACCGAACAAGCTGAAGTTAGAAGCTGATTGGCTACCATGCACAGCTGCACCAGATTGTTCAGTTTTAGTAAATCAACCCCATTATGTACATGAATATTTTAAAATTTATTTACATTTCAGAATTTTTTTTTTTTCTTATTTAAAGTGTTTGATACATTTCATATTGCTGATATGTACCTGTTGTACCATGTTATGTTAAAAAGTATTGTTTTATCTCTTAATTTGTGTGAAATACCTGGTAGTCTTCCCAGTCCCCCTGCTTTACTATTTCCAACTGACCACGCTAGGCATGAGAGCACATCCATCCCAGCATTGTCAGTTTTGTGGGTGTGCTCAGAACACAGTCTGCCTGTCCTCCAATGGTCAGGACTTGTGTGGACATGCCCCCTGCAAAGCCATTCACTGGGAATTTCAGTGTGCTACTGTTTCTCCACCCCCAGTTCTCTAAACCCCTTAGGCAGCTGAGCACAGAGGTAAAGTGGTCACTTTTAGAGAAAATAAAAGATATTTATGTTTTTTATATCTATAAACACGCATGTTTGCCTTTCATTTCTATTTTAAACTGAATGGGTTGTTTTACCAGGTAAGAGTTCACATATACTTTAAGGGAATGTATAGTCTCCCAGTTATGTTTCATATATATATATATAATTGAGTACTGACGTGATACTTTTTTTATTTGCACTAACATACAATTTTGAGGACAAGCTTTCGGGGTATGTCCCCTTTAGCTGCTAAAACTTTGTAGTAGTACTGCATGGACCTTGAAGAAGGGGACATACCCCCGAAAGCTTGTCCTCAAAATTGTATGTTAGTGCAAATAAAAAAAGTATCACATCGGTACTCAATTGTTTCTGTCGCAAGTGCACTAATACGTCTACAATCACCTCAAGCATATATATATATATATATATATATATATATATATATATATATATATATATATATAAAAATAAGATCTGCTTGAATTAAAGCTAACCACTGCTTCCCAGAATTTGAGTTACTCTCCTTCCTTCCACATTGCTGGAGTTAAAACCAACAGCTTTTGTGTCTTAGTAACAAGCCATGACATGGTTTGCTAACTAGTTTTCAGGTTAGGCTTCTAAGGGTACCCCAATGGCCTACAGGTATGGCAATACTTTTATTGAACATTTTACAAGCTGCACAGTTTTTTAATATCCACTGTTGCCCCTTGACTACATAGGCTATTTTCTGGAAAAGGTGAACTTAGTCTTTAAGTCACTAATCTGGAAAAAAATATGTAGGCAGGTGCCCTAAAATTGTTTTTGTCTGTTTTGTACTGCAATGTTCTATGATTACTATGCTGTTAAGTTATAAAATGTAATTGTATCTTGTGGCCTTTACCTAGTAAATCAACTCATTGTGACATGTAGATGCAGTACCAGTGTTCTGCAAATATCAAGGTTAACCCTTGCGGATATATTACTACAGTAGTGAATCTAGATACTGAAGTATTGTGCATTATAGCAGCCAGCCAGTTGAGCCCTGAGATGACTTTTGCCTAGGTGACGGAGGTCCCCAGTAGCAAAGGAGCCTTTGCGCTTGGTTCTTAGCCTAGTGATTGGTACCCCAACTTGGGTCTGATTGTAGTATAGAGTGTCCTATGGACCCAGCCTAGTCACTAAAGATGGAGTGAGGCCTCGGAGTACTAAAGAACATGTCAGTAATGGTATAGAGGTTCCTGGGATACAATGCTAAGAATGGAGAAGGAGAGTTTAATATGTGCAGAGTCGTCCCTAGGGTAGGTGTCACACGGTGCAGTAACACTTGGTGTCACCAAGTGCAGTAACACTTGGTGACACCCCCTCCGACGATCCCCGCAGAATGGATCGTATCTGTGGATTGAGCATAATGGATCGGACTCCGCTCCATTATGCTCAATCTGCAGATCCGATGTATCCTGCGGGGATCATCGGCTTTCTTTACAACTTACCTTTTCTTAGAGCGGGTCTGGTGTCACCCCATATAGGTTGCATGCCGACGATCCTCATCAGCATGTATCCTATATGGGGTGACACCGGACCCGCTCCAAGAAAAGGTAAGTTTTAAAGAAAGTCGACGATCCACACAGAATGGATCGGATCCATCCTGCGGGGATCGTCGGCTTACTTTACAACTTACCTTTTTGTGGAGCGGGTCTGGTGTCACCCCATGCAGTCGGCGTCTCCCCATGCAGACCTCACCCCCCACACCTGCCTCAGGACGCCACTGAATATGTGTAACAGTGTCACTGGGATGAGGTGGCAGGTTTCTGGGCTGGTGGAGTCCTTTGCATGTTATGCAGCATTGGCTCAGTTGGGAAGAAGTGTATGATGGAACTGTTAACTGTGATGTTTAACTTCTTGCCGACCGCGCATAGCCGAAATGACGGCTTCACCGCGGCCGGCCAGTTCTGAGTGGACGTCATATGACGTCCTCCCAGAACGCGCTCTCCTACGGACACAGCTGATCACGTGATGTGGTGAAAGGCCGATCCCACCGGCCTTTTACCACGTGATCAGCGGTGTCCAATGACACGCTGATCACAGGGAAATGCAAGTGCCGGTTCTCGGCTGCACTTTCCTCACGCTGTCAGATCGTGAGGAAAGTACTGCCGAGAACCGGCAGTTGTCAGAGCGGGGATCGGCACCGATCATCAGGGCACTGATGATCAGTGCCCTGATGATCGGTGCCCAGCAGTGACACCCGCATGTTCCACCCAGCAGTGCGCCCACTAGCCCCGCCCACCCGTTCCCAGCAGTGCCCCCACCTGTGCCCAGCAGTGCCCCCACCTGTGCCCAGCAGTGCCCCCACCTGTGCCACTCTGCAGTGCCACCTACCTGTGCCCAGAAGTGCCACCTACATGTGCCCAGCAGTGCCACCCACCTGTGCCCACCCACCAGTGCCACCCACCTGTGCCCACCAGTGCCACCCACCTGTGCCCACCCACCAGTGCTGCCCACCAGTGCCACCCACCAGTGCAGCCCAGCAGTGCTGCCAGTCAGTGCCACCAGTCAGTGCCCAGGGGTTGTGCCAGTCAGTGCCGCCAGTCAGTGCCCAGAAGTGATGCCAGTCAGTGCCGTCTATCAGTACCCATCATCAGTGTCACCTATCAGTGCCGCCTATCAGTGCTGCATATCAGTGCCGCCTATCCGTGACCCCTAATTAGTGCTGTCTATCAGTGCCGCCTATCCGTGCCACCTCATTAGCACTGCCTATCAGTGCCCTTTAGTGCTGCCTATCAGTGCCCATCAGTGCCGCCTATCAGTGCCCATCAGTGCCGCCTCATCAACGCAAATCAGTGAAGGAGAAAAAATACCTGTTTGAAAAAATTTTATAAAAGAAACAAATAAACTTTTTTTTTTTTTTCAAATTTTTTGCACATTTTTAATTTATAGCGCAAAAAGTAAAGCGCCCAGTGGCGATTAAATACCACCAAAAGAAAGCTCTATTTGTGAGAAAAAAATGATCAAAATTTAATATGGGTACAATGTTGCATGACCGCGCAATTGTCAATCAAAGTGCGGCAGCGCTGAAAGCTGAAAATTGGCCTGGTAAGGAAGGGGGTATAAGTGCCTGGTAGGCAAGTGGTTAATTGAGGAAAGGAGTGAGCCACACTACAGTATTCAAGAGTTAACTAAATGTCTGCTCAGAAGTGCCTCTCATAGCTGAGAGTGCCATCTTAATGCCATACCCTGTGTCAAGGCATATACAGTACCTCTGGCAGCCTGCAAGGGCATGAACGCTCTGCCTATCCATGTCCCCAGAGTAAACCACACTCACAAGTATGCAGATAGGAACATTTATCTTTCTCTAATATTTCTGATCATCATAATTGTTTCAGGTCAAAGTCTGAAACGTATTAAACCCAGAAGGTTAAAAGGAGAGAACGTTTCCTGATAAATAGCCACCATCCCTGAAGTATAATATTAAACATGAAAAAGGGAACCCCCTAAATTAATTGGAACTTTGAAGGCATAGATACATAAATTGAATTAAAAATGTGAATTCTTCATTCAGTCAAATTCAAACACATAAAAATTATAACATAGCAGACCATCTGAGATTATATTATGACATCACCATCAAGGCTATTTATTTGGTAACAACAATAATTTGTATAGCCATACATAATAAACCATTTCTGATCATATTAAAATATCTCCATCAAAACATATTGTTTAAAATTACAGAGGCAATTTGCATAAATGCAATGCATTTCGGAGTGATTTTACTCCTTCCTGAGGGAAAAGAGAACTCTGCATAGGGGTGATATGATCTACAAAATTGAAAATATATTTGTTTAGAACATTAAGACATGAATCAATCTTCAACCAAACCTAAAAACAAGGCTTCAGTCTGCCGCCACCTCATAAGCCAGGAAATCGGCGAGTCTCGGGCATCCAGGGCCCCCCAAAACGGATCACAAGGACCATCCAGATCACTGCAACAGAGGGTTTGAGTACCAAAAAAAAAAAAACATCTCCGAAAAAAAATTTACACAGTAAAAGAGACCATTATAGCCCCTCTGGGTGAAATCCACCATCATATTTGTGAGCGTCTAGGTATTTAGAGGCCTCACCCACATCTAGCCAGGTACACTGAAGAAAGCATAGATATGAGTCTTCCGAGGTATATGTCCAATTAGACCACATAAACCTTTACAGGTACTGTTGCTGGGAAAACCGATAAAACATGTATATCAGTATGTATATCCTTAAGCTGACAGAAAATGGAAGAAAGTACATAAATACTAATTCCCAAAGAAAAAAAAATGAGAAAAGGAGAAAGCTTTCTAGTAAGTACAAAAAAATCAGCATAATGCTCACCATGAAAAAAAGGGGGGGAATCATTATGAAGCAATCTGGAAAAGTCCGCACTAGTCTACAGAAGCAGAAAGTATTTAGGTGTATAAAACAGACCTCAATTGACTAACCTCCTCCAAGGAGGCAGACCAAGGGACCAAAATGGCATCTGAACGCCAAACCTGTGCTGTCTCCATAGTGAGTGCCATTGGGAAATACCCCCCGGAACAACGGTGCACAGTGTCACCACGTCATGAGGAGTGACGTCAGGTATTGGCGGATCGCCGACACGCTGAGAGAGAGCACGTCTGCCGGGTTCAGAAGGAGCGGCAAAAACCAAAACCCCACAGCGGTCGCACAAAGCTACACTCACCAGGCCAGAAAGGGCTGGTGGTGCAGCCCCAGCATGCCAGGTGCCGAGATACAAGGACCAAGCACCCGAGTTCAACTCCCACTGAACTCCCCAACCAGGAAGGCAGCCAAGACAAAGCTATCCACATCATAAATTCCATATTGGGCAAACTGTATATATCAAGAATATATAAAAACATAACAAAAGTACATTAGGCACAAAATTTGAAAATAACAAAAGCCAGAAAGATCTCAAACATGGGTACAAAATAATGAAAGGTATACACTACACTTATAAGGCATTAATGCAGCACTATATTGTATAAAGTGAAATGTAAAACACAGCAGTAAAAATGGGCAAAACACATGGATAAGAGGAGGCATATAGTAGAACTTATTTTTCCATACACTCAGAGAGACAAACCTTTGTAAAAAAAAGGCCGGAAGTTGACAGATTCATCCAGGCCAGGGGGGAAGTAACCTGTAGATGGAAAATCCATCTAAGCTCCAACTGCAACAACAGCTCATTCCAGTCACCCCCTCTATGACCTGGATGTACCCGGTCGAGAATAAAAAATTTAATTTTGGGAAATCAATTTAATTTTGGGAAATCGACCATTATGTACTATAAGGGCATGGCGTCCCAAAGTTAATTCAGGACCACCCGTCCACATGCTTTTAACATGTCAATATGCTCGCCTCCAAAAGTCCAACTTTGTCTTGCCCACATAAAAACAGCCACATTCAAAGAGAAGTAGATGTATCACTCCCGCAGTTCGACAATTGGCAAAATGTTTGGGTTTGAACAGAACCCCATTTGATAGTAAAGCCAGAAGGTCTGTATAACAATTAAGCAGCATAAGGGAATTATTTTGTTTGTAGGTTTCATCTTGAGTACAGCTACAGGCTTCTCCCTCCCGTGCACTCTACTGTAACATGCTGGAATGCTCAGTATTGATACCTAACCTCTTAGGCGCCCACTCCATTGGCATGTTACATCACCAACGAGCCCAGAAAAGGTTATACGCATATCTGTACCATAGAAGGTCTTCAATAAGCCAAAAAAAGTGTACAGATGTGAATCTTTTAACTATGTTAATAGCAGAAAGTAGTACATAATACCATTCAGTATTTTGATACACAGGGAAACTGAAATATTGGAATGTGGTTGTTATCGCCCGCCTTGAGGTAGCGGAGGCGAACTGGATGTCTTCTCCTTCAGCCAAGACGCGGAAGATTTGTGATGATATTACGGTGGAGTTGGACCTCCTAGACTTTGATCAGGCGGAAAAAGCTTTGTGCTGGGCCCAACATAAATATTTCTCATCTGCTAATAAACCCGGTGCGATGTTGACCTGGAGATTGAATTCCACCAGTCGCCTCCACAAACCCTTTGGATTACGCTTGGCAAATGGAGATCTCTCATTTGACCCCAAAAGAATTGTGGACACCTTCGCTATCTTTCTCTCTTCTCTCTACTCCCATCCCATCTCTTTTTCTTTCGACAAAGCTGATACTTTTTTCGGGACCTTGACCTTCCGTCTTTGCCGTCTTCAGCCCAAGACACCCTGAACGCCCCTGTGACTGTTCTGGAAGCTTTACAGGCCATTAAGTCTGCCCATGTGTGGAAAGCCCCGGCCCCGGATGGATTCTTGGGCCTTTACTATCGCAAATTCTCCACTATCTTGGCTCCTTTTTTGGCTGCCTATTTTAACGACATGCGTGATGGCAATAGGCCTTCCCCTGATGCTCTTCGGGCCCATATTTCAATACCGAAATCGAATGATGCTGATGACCCACAGGTGTTTCGTCCTATCTCCCTCCTCAACGAGGACATGAAACTGCTGGGTAAGATTCTAAGCTCACGTGTCAATAGATATCTTCGTGCACTGATTCATAGAAACCAGGTTGGTTTTGTTCCAGGTCGTCAAGCCACATATAATGTCCGTAACGTGGTACACCTTGTCTCTCTTATGAATCGCTGCAACATTCCAGGGTTTCTCCTTTCAGTAGACATTTACAAAGCGTTCAATACCCTTTCATAGGATTATCTGAGTTACGTTCTGGGCCGCTGGGGCTTTGGGTACTCGTTTCTGACTTGGATTTCGGCGTTATATTTGGCCCAAGAGGTTTTGGTCCGGTATACAGGCTTCTCCTCTACTTCTTTTCCCATAGCTAGGGGCACCCGTCAGGGCTGTCCTCTTTCCCCCACCCTCTTTATTTTGACCCTTGAACCCTTATCGGGGATTCCATACGCGGGCACATCATACAAGGTGAATGTTTTTGCAGATGACGCTTTGCTGACGCTGACTAATCCGATAGTGACGCATCCGAATCTTCATCTGTTATTGTCCCAGTTTGTGGAATTCTCCGGTTTGCAGGTTAACCTCCATAAAATGATTGCTTTAAATGTCTCCTTGCCGGAATCTACAGTCACCCTCTTCCAGTCTTCCTTGCCATACTGCTGGACTTCCTC